CATTGTGGTAGTGTTGGTAAGTTTTTAGTCTTGTTGCCACATCACAACCATTCTTGGGCATATACTAATCACTCCTCGGACCAACATAGTTGATCAGGCTATGCCACTCCCAAGACTGACCATACATCCCCAGACTTACCTGTGATATCCAACAATCATTACTTTTGTTTCGTCCTAAAATGATGCTGACCTTAGTATGTATGCATGCATGTATACTTTTAACAAAAGCTATTTATTCCTAAAGGTATAGTGGTTTTGAAATCTTAAAATCAGAGACCTTAGTCCCAATGCATTTATAGTTTGTATATCTTATGTGGTTCGATATACTTAGTTCACTATAAACAATGCTCTGATACCAATCTGTCACACCTCCAAACCAAGGATGGCGGAAACGTCTGGGGTGGAGGACTTCATGTACAGTATCACAGCAACGTGTATAATAGTGCTCAAAGTAAAAACAACCACCATATATATAATTGCAAAAGTTACACCAAAGTATATGTTTATATGTTTCAAAAGCAATTACATTATGATGACAAAATAAATTGTTGACGGTTTAACGTCCCATCCTCAAAGCGATGAAGTTTTCCTGTTTCACTGATTTCCTGAGAATACAAGTAGTTTTAAAAAGTGTCAACACAAAGGTTGGTGAGTTCATAAGAGTTTTGTTTGAAGTAGAAACCGTTTTTCCTTGTAAGATCGATATAGTTTGATTTCCAGAAAATCCAATATTTTCTTATTTAAGTGTGAATAGAAATATTCCTATATGATGCATTAATGAATCCTAGAATGACCCGTAAAGTTCCTCTATAATCGTCCAGCGTATATAAGTTATATAAGGTTTAAATTAGATAAAACGTTGAATATAGTGGGTCTGCCCTAGGTCCACAACCAAACAAGGAACAGGAGATGAGGCGGGCACCACCAATTCTAGGCCAATCAAGACTAAATTCTTATATGACTCAACCATGTACGGTCAGCGATTATAGTTGAAGTCTAACAGTTCTAGATGAAAAATAGTTTGTTAATACATTATATATATGTAGTCCTAAATTAGAGGACCGAGTAATAACAAGTATTGACCATACTTAAAAGTATAAATGTGGTTTCAAACGATGTGTAGTCGTAACTACCAAAACCAAAAGTGTACAGTAATATCTGTACTCATAGAGATAAAAAGGTGATTTTAAATCGACATAAAACTCATTTAGGTTTTAAAAATAAAATCCCGTAAACTTATGGATTGTTATATCCCTATGTGAGTCGCTATAATCATACTATGACTATGTGAACCTGCCACGACGTTCTCAGTGTCGCGAAAAATAAATGACATTTGTCACCCGTAGACCTGCAGGTCCAACTGTAGCTAGCAGCAAGGTGTGGGGTGTCAATCCCAATATAGATCTATATACAAGTATCACGTTCTCCCTCAAGGAGATTCTGATTATAACTACCAGGAATTATATCCCGCACTCGGACGTACGGGGAGAGAGAGAGAGAGTCTCACAATATAGGTTAACAAGTTTACGTGAAATGTGTGTGAATATAAATATTTCTTGTATGAATGTACCCTTCTTGTACGAGTGCGTTGAGTGATGTATCATAAACTATACCTATTATAGTTTATCTAAAATGTATGTAATATGTATGAACTCTTTTATGGAAATGTATTAGTGTTATGAATTTATTCAAACTATACTTTTTATAGTTAAATAATACGTGTTCCAAAATGAATGAATAATATTTAATATGAATGTCTTAGTTTCAGTTCATAATGATAAACTAACAAGGAAACACATTCAAATATTAAAACTTATGATTATACACTTTGCTCAACATAATACAAAGTGTTATGATATTTACATGCTGTTGGCTAACTTTAGCCATTCTGCCCCGTTTTTGGAAAAATCATAGAAAAATCATACGAAGTCGAAAACTAGATCCGTAAATTCTGAGAGTTCACAAAACGTGTCTAGTTTACTCATAATTTTTATCACGATTTTTAATGACCTCCAACTTGGGTGAAAATGTCCATAATCACAGACTGGTCCGGATTGTTGTTTGAAATGATAGGTAGTTTTGTAAAAATCACCATAAATTGTAGAAAAATCGTATGGAGATGTGCAAGTAGTCATTTTAAAGCTACAAACTTGAACTATTTTCACCTTGTACAGTTTTGAAAACAAAAATGTTTAAGATGCCCAAAACAGTCCGTGAATGGAGTTGAACTTTTCTGATGAAGGCTGTTAGAAAAATTTAATTATGTTCTTAGTGTTTTAACTTGTATTCCCCCCTGAAACTTGAGAAAACATGAAAATGTAGGGGTATGAACTCACCTTGAGTGATTTCAGTAGGTAAGTGTTGAAGAAGAGAAGTGTTCAACCAAGAACACTTGAAGAATCACTTGAAGATTCGAAGCTCTAACGCTAATATGATGGAGTTTGTGTAAGATATTCATGATTTGAGTAGAATGAAGTGAAATAATCATAAGGAGGATGAATTATACTTACTAAGAGTGGAAGAACATGTGAAGATCAGCCTTGAATCTCGAGTTTGGAGTGGAAAAAGTTTGAGAGAAAGTGGTGTTTGATACTTAGTGAAATGAGGGCAAATGAGAGAAAATGAGGAGAGAGGATGTTTGTTCCAGCTCTAAAAACGTGGGAATGAGTGTAAATTGAGTGGAAATGACATTGATGTGACCTAGGTAAGGTGGGGAGGTGTGGTTAGTCAAAGAGTGGGTGTGGGGTGGTTGCTTGTGACATTGGATAAGGCAAAGTCAACACTCCACCTTTAAAATTCACCCATTTGATTTTTATTATTTAAATAATGATTTTCATCAAAATATGTTTAAATTATGAATATTTAGAGTTTATTATGTTAAAATATAATTTCTGGAGAAAATCCCGCTTTAAAATCACGAAAAACGGGCTTAAAATGTTAAAAATATCAAAAATGGGCTAAAAGTGACAAAATGCGAATTCTGGCCGAGGCTCGGCCTTCTGGTGCTGAACGAGAGAGAGAGGGAGGCAGAACCGAGAGGGAAGAAAAGAGGAAGGAAGGAGCCGAGAGGGGAAGGAGAGAACAGAGAGGCGCGAGACAGAGCGAGAGAAGGGAAGAGACAGAGAGGCGGAACAGATAAGGTGACTGAGAACCGAGGCTCGGTCCTCGCGCCCATAGCCAACAGAGGCTCGGTTCGGAGATAGAAGGCGAGAAGGTCAGAACCGAACGAACTGTAGTGAACAGTAGTGAACATACCTTCGGTTCGTTCTTCCAGGGCGAGGTTCGGTTCGGTTCCTCTGAGCAGGGTTCGGTTTCGGTTAGTGGTGAACAGTACCTTCGGTTCGGTTCGGCTCAGGAGGGTTCGGTTCGGCTCAGGAGGGTTCGGTTCGGTTCCTCTTACTCTCAGTCCCTAAGAGGACCTTCGGGTCCTAAGAAGCTTCTCTCTTGGTTTCGGTTCCTAAAGCCTATTTTCTCGTTTTCGCCCCGTTTTAAGCCGTTTTTGACCCGGTTAAGGGCCGGAATGACCCGAATGATTCCAAAAAGTTACGGGAAACTTTTGAGAGAGATTTGGGAGAGATTTCTCACACTTGGAGAGATTTGGGAGAGATTTGACATTCTTGGAGAGATTTCTCACACAAAAGATATTTGAGAGAGGTTTCACATACTTGGAGAGATTTGGGAGAGATTTGACATCTTGGAGAGATTTCTCATACAGAGAGATATTTGAGAGAGATTTCACATGCTTAGAGATTTGGGAGAGATTTGACATTCTTGGAGAGATTTCTAATACAGAGAGATATTAGAGAGAGATTTCACATACTTGGAGAGATTTGGGAGAGATTTGACATAGAGAGAGATAGAGTGAAAACGATTGAGAGAGGTTCCGTGTGGGACAGTTGTGAGTGTCGCGGCATCCGCAATGCATGGTTCGTAAACCCTGTTAAGCCTT